TCACTGTTAGACACTTGTCCTTTATCTGAGAGCCAGAGTCTGCCTCCCTATAAGCTCCACTAGTTGTTCTGAGCAGAGACAAAGCAGCAACTAAAGGAGAGGCCCAGAAAATTAGGGACTCCAAGGTCAGGAAACCTCAACCTTCAACTCCTGGGGAGGAGTCTGAGTGACTCAGGAGATCTCAACACCAGCCATGGTGGGGCGTGGCCATGGGGCAGCCCATGCCTTCCTCTTCCTGGGATTTGTAGAGATCACTAAGAAGGACTGTGGCCACTCCCTGCCTCCCAGAGCCCACCTGAGGACTTGAGGAAGAATGGGGAGAGGCTGAGGCAGCTACCCAGCCCCACTGTGAGGCCCAGGGAGAGGGAGACCGTCATCTCCACTTCTGGGGAGTGGTGGCCTTGGCTTTACACCAGCGTGGGCCTGCCTCACACCCCTACGCCCATTCCATGGAGAGCTGGGGGGCCAGGAGCGGACAGAGGACACTTTCAGATGTTCTTTACAGCAGCCCTGAGGGACAGACGGGAAACTGATAGGGCACCACAGCTCGGAGCGTGGGGCCGTCTCACCACCTCAACTGGCCTCCCTTTATGCCTCAGCACCTCAGCAGCACCTCTTCCCCAGCCCCATACTCCTGGCTTCCTTCCTGGGCTTTATGCAGAGGCGCCACCTGCGAGGGATCAGCTGGCTCCTTCCCAGTCTGCACTGAAAAAACATGGCTGGGGCAAGGCCCCAGCATGCACTGGGTCCTGGCTGATGAAACATTTTACCCTCCTAGTACTCCGGTAGACTTCCTGCTTCTGTTGTTTCTTTAAAGGACCAGCATTTTCTAGCAGGTAATTGAGAGGCATTGAGTTCAACCAGAACATGAAAACCAGGCTGTGCCTCTCCCTGTGTTAGAGCTTGTTCCCCAGGCCAGAGGCACAGGGATCCCCTCGGTGTGGTCAGGTTGCTGCTGGTGCTTGTGGTGGTGATCCCAGCTGATGTGGGCCACCTGGCACCTATGTCCCTTCCACATCCATGAGGTGGTGTTGGTTCCCTTGCGATACACATGAAGACTCGGAGGTTCTGAGAAAGAAGACAGCCACACAGAGCAGCAGAGCTTGATGTGAACCAGGAACCCAGGGCATTCAAGACGCTTCCCTCTGAACACTTCATTTTTTATACCACCCTGGTGTGCTAAGTGCTGGCCTTTATGTGGGATTTGAGGCAGGCGAGGGGCTCCTTTGTGTGGGATCCTGTGGCTTTGTCTTGGCCCTCGATTTCAGTTGCTACTATTCTTGTATTCATATAGTTGCAAATTTTCTGTAGGATTTTATCTTTGTGGATAGTTCAGTGTCTGCTCTGTTGCTGGGATGGGGATTGTTATATTGTTTCTCCCAGATACTCATTGTCACTGAGCTTTATTCCCAGTGGGAAGTGGGAACAGAGAGGAAACGTGTGGGGTCATAAAAGCTCTAGAACCCCCACGGCCATGAGCTTGAGAACTATAGGCCTCAACAGCTTTGTACATACAAGTGTTTTCCTTCCTTTGAACTCAGTCTCCTACCAGTAGTGTCCCTGTCAGAGGGAGAAGTGGGCGATGGAAACTGAAGTCATTTTCATGGTTCTTAATGGGAATCCACCTGTTTATCTTTCAGAAAGCATATGCTAATTTAATACCACCCGTTCTTTTTTCCAGTTTGAGGAATGTCACATTAAGTAGTTTTATTTACATCTCAAGTATTGAGTTTCACCTGTCTTTCCAATGTGGTTTTGCTCCTTGCAAGGACCCCTGTCACCACACTGAGACTTGGAGACTCAGTGTGGCCAGAGTTCACCATTTCAGAAGCAGAGTCCCCTTCATTGTTCAGCTCTGCTTCCTCCCAGGCAAAAGCCAGTGCTCACACTGCTGCACTTAGTACATGTCTGAACAGCCCAAGACTTTGTGGGAATATGGGGGCCTGGACCACATATCAGCTTCTGAGTGACACGCATCCCCTTCTTCTTGAGGACTGGTGGGGTGTGGGGATTGTGTGGGAGTGTGGCCATCACTGGTTGTTCATGACCTTGGAGCTGGGTAGGTGCTGCCTTCAACATGTTTGGGCTGTGTTCATGGGTCCTGTTCTCTCCAGCCCCTGGCCGCCTCTGGCTACCTCTGCCCCAGCCCTGCCAGGCCTCTGGTCTCTCTGTCCCTCCAGTCTGCCTATCATGCCACCTGCCACCAGTCTTGTCTGTCCCATGGGTCTCTGCTCAAATGCCCACACATTCCCTTTACCAAGAGAAGAAGGCTCAGGCTCCTTGGCTGTGCCAGAGGCCCTTCACCATCTCTACTATCCTATTAGCTCCTCTGTGCCCCACCCTTACTGCTCACATCCTTCTCTAGACCCCACCATCCTGTGTTGACCTACCACCTCCTTGCATGCGACTGAGAACTGATGGGCCTGGAGGGGCCTCCTATGCTATGCCCAAGATCGTTCATTCATTCACTCACCTACTCACTCCATCCCTCGCCCCACCTCTCTCTCCCTCCCTCATTCTTCTGATCTCACTGTCTATCTGGGAGGGACTCTTGCTACCCATCCGCAGAGTACAGACTATGCTGGTCAGTAATCACTGACCTGGGTGTCTTTCCATTCCAACCCCACACCCCACAACGACATAGCCAGCAGCTTGGGAGCAAAACAAGCACATCCCCACATCCCCAGCAGCTGGGCCTGAACGTGGACACTAAGAGCTGCTTACTTAGGTGTACTGCTTTCTAACAAGTTAGATAGAAATGTGGTTAACCACTCTGCCCGCCATGTGGGTAGACGTTCAGAGAAAGGCTAGTTGCCCCTTTCATCAGTTCTTGCTTAGAGCACAGGGGGTCATATTCAAGTTGACCCACAGCCAGTGTGCCCCCACATGGCCCTCTCAGTGTTCATCGTCAGCCACTCCAACTGGTTGGTGGCTGTCCATTCTAGTTTTAGACATATTGAACCTGGAAAGGTGACAGAGGGTCGCATTGTAACTCAGAGCCCAGGCCCTGAAACCACACAGACCTGGGAGCTCCAGAATTCCCTCGCCTTGTGACCCTGAGCACTTTCAGTTACCTTTCTGCCCCAAACCTACCTCACTGGGTCATCGACATGCATTCATGGAGGCAGCCCCTCACCCAGGGCTGGCAGCCAGAAAGGCAAGATACACATCAGCCATTGGAGCCTTTCTAAGACGGTCCAGAGAGAGGCAAGGCCTTCTGTGCAGACCACTCTGGGCTCAGATCCAGTTCTGCCCCCTTAAGAGCAGGGCCCTACACCAGTGGTTTGTCTTCTCGGAACCTGTACTTTCTCGCCTACAGATTGGGAACAACAGCCAAGGTCTGTCGACCACCATGAGGCTCAGCACGCACATTAATAAAGCCAGTGGCACAAAGCCTGGCTCGGCATGTGTGATCTTCAGACACTGGGTCATCTCAAGGATGCATTTGGGCTGGCTATTGGGGAATGATGCTGCCCGAGGTCCCTGTGGCCTGTGGGGACAGGCTGTGCAGTGGATTCATGGGCCCCATGCCACTGGCTGGTCTGGTACTGCCACCGGCTCAGTACCAGGGCAGTGACTCAACCGTGGCCACCCCCACTCACCCTGCCCACTGTGAGAAGAAATCTGTTCTCTCACAATAGGCACCTTTAAAAAAAAATGTATCTTGGGTTATAGATTTTCTTTATCTTAAAAAAAAAAATAGTTTCTTGCTGATTATTTCTGAAACAAGGCATTTTGGAAATCCCTCAGCAGTTACAGCCTCTGGCACTCACAGGACAATGTTAGCCTCTTGGTTGTCCCATGCTCAGCATTACAGCAGCAGCAGGGCCCAGGCCAGCTTCTCACCTCACCCCTCCCCAGAGGCCCTCACAGCTCTGTGACCCCTTGGACAGACTGGGATGGTAGTAGGCCGGGATCTATGGTACCCCAGACTCGCAGAAAGGGACACACTGAGGGCACCTGGGTGAGGGGTTGAGGCGGAGGAGAGTGAGCACCCACCTGGCTGGCTAATGGAGGCCCCAGCAGCCGGGCATGAAGAGGGTAGCTCTGGAGGCAACAGACCAGCTGGGTGGCCCAGGGCATGACTTCACTTTTCTGAGCCTCAGTTACTTCATCTGTCCCCTGGAGATGGTACAGTCCCTAAATCAACAAGGCCACTGAGAGGCCACAGCCAGTGTCTGCACACAGAAGGCATTTGATAAATGGGAGTGGTCTTGCTCCTGCAGGGAAGGTGGGTGATGACCCAAAGCAGGATGGGGATAGGGAGCCATGACTTTGGCCAGGGAGTCTTCGGGCAGGTTGTGAAGACATGTTAGCATTGGGGTGGGTAGGGGTGAGACCTCTGAGGAGACGGGGAAGGTGTCCCCAGCAGATGGATCTGAACTTGGACCCTAAGAGCTGCTTACTAAAGTGTGCTGCTTAATAACAAGTTAAATAGAGGTGAGGTAAGGAGTTTCCAGGCAGTGGGGACAAAATAGGAAAGGCCCCAAGCGTGAGTGCTCACATTTGAAGGGGACAGGGGCCAGTTTGTTGTGGCTGGGGGATGAACATAGAGTGGATAGAAATGCGAGGTTGGTGGGAAAGTGTGGGTCAGTTTGGGCTGGGCCAGCGATTTGGGGAAAGGAGCCAGACTTTGTTTGGGGTCTGTGGCCTGGGATGTGAGCTGCTCCCACACAGCAGTCTCCCCCTCTCCACCCAGTACGTCCCACCCTTGCCTGCACATCACACTTTAGGGGGGCTGGTGCCCTGCGTGCAGGCAGGCCTGCCCCCTCCCGGGCTCAGCTCAGGCCCTGTCACTCAAGCTGGCTCAGGAGGGCTTGTGCCCACCCAGGGAAAGCTAGCAGACATCTCACCCTGGTCAGGAGCAAGAACTGGCACTGACTAGGGCACTCTCCCTTTCTGAGTGGCACGACCTGCTCCTCCCTCCTGGGCCCGGCCAGGCAGACCGCTCATGCCATGCTGGTCAGTAATAACCACAGCACCTCTGTTTCCTTCCACAGATGACTCTGGGGACGACGACGAGGAGACTGCCTCCCCAGCTGACAAGAGTGAACTCCACAACACCATCAAGAGCCTCTCCTTGAAGTTAGATGACCTCAGCACGTGCAACGACCTCATCGCCAAGCACGGCGCCGCACTCCAGCGCTCCCTGAACGAGCTGGACGGGCTCAGGATCCCGTACGAGAGCAGTGAGAAGCTGAAGGCTGTGAACGAGCGGGCCACCCTCTTCCGCATCACATCCAATGCTATGATCAACGTAAGTGCCCACCCGCACCCTGTCCTGGCACAGGGCTCCCCCTAAAGGGAAGTGGCTCCCTGTCACCAGCACCGCGGCCCCTGAGCAGTGGCTGGGTGCTTGACAAGCCAGGGCTCTGTTTCCAGTGGCTTCAGGTCCTTTTGCAAAGCCAGCTCCCTCCTGTATTCTCTCCATCCTCTATGTCAGGGGTCGGCAAACTGTGGCTCACCAGCCACATGCGGCTCCTTGGGTACGTACATATGGCTCTGAAGTAAAATTGAAAATGAAAATAAAACTATCAGAGTTTCATTTATAAAATTTTTAAGGATATTATTCACATAATGGTGATTTTGTTGGTTTTATGGCTCTCGAATAATTTTTAAATTGTTGTGAGGGACAGGATTGGTTCTTCCATCTCAAAAGTTTGCCGACCCATGCTCTATGTCATCTCATCCATGTGGCCATTGGTAAATGAGAACATTCTTCCTAATTGTCAGGTGTGGAATCTGGTTGCGGCTGCAGGTGGTTCGGGCCTGGCTGAGGAAGGCCCGGGCCCCTGGTCAAGCCGCTGGCTGTGCCCACACAGTAGAGACTTGGCTGGTTGGCCCACACAGCTGCTACTGCTTTTTCCCAGATGTAAGGCAGATGCTGCAGGATTGGGACCATGAGCGTGCACTTGTGTGTAGTGGGGAGTGGCATTGGGGGATCCATTAGCCAAAAGAGCTTGAGAGCGGAGGCTGCCATGCGTCAGGGCAGCCTGACAGTAGCCAAATGAGTAACCAGTCTGTAAACTGAGAGGCATAGCCACAGGAGTCACCGCTTTCCACGGGGTTCTGGAAGCCACGGGGCTGTGGCTCGGAGCCAGGACGGTCTCTCCATGGTGGCAGAGAATCCAGTGCTTAACTGTGCTCCAGGGCCTTCCTCTTTCTGCCTGGTGGGTGCTCCCCAGAGATGGGTGTGGCCCCCACCCTCAGACACAGGTCTGCATGCAAAGCCTCCTCCCAAGCGTAGCCTCTGGGAGGGAGCCCGTCTGGCCGGGGGTGCATGCTGGGAGCAAGGGGATCAGAAAGGGGAGGTGTGGGGACATGCAGGCCACTACAGAGGCCCAGGCCCATAGAACATGGTTCAGGCAGGCCATCAGGCTGGCTGGAGACAATAGCAGTACTGGTGCCCACATGAGCCCCAGGTGGCCTCCGAAAAAAGAGGGTGATACCAGAGCAGGATTGGGACTTGGGACCAGACTCTCAGCCCAACACCAGGAAACACAAGGGCCGGGGAAAGATGGAGGCTGGAGCCCGCCTCAGGCCAAAATCCCCCAGCAAAACCTTGGGCATCTGAGACTTGGCCCAAGCCTGTTTCACGGGGCCTATGGGCAGCATGGTGTAAGGTGGGTGGACCACCCCCACCACCCCACCTGCCCTGTTCCCACCACAGACAGGCTGGGGCCTAGAGCTGCCAGGGTACAGGAGGAAGCCTCATTCTGGGGCCTGAGGCTGAGGAGGTTCACCCTCTTCTAAGACTGGGGGACACATGGCGCCTTAAGCTCAGCAGGTGTGTGGACCTTTGTCCACAGTGCTCAGGGGTGTGGTTGGTGTCTACATGCCAAGATGCTTCTGGGCCGCAGCTCTGGGGCCTTCTGCCTGTTGGCTCCCTGCCTTCTCAGCCCAATGACTTCCTTACAGCCCCCAGACTCTAGGGGCCCAGGTCCCTACACTTCTTCCAGTGATAGGCACAGATATTAAGCATTTATTGACATAATGATGCATTCATGTTTCTCCATCGATCCCAGAAGCCACTACTGCCCATGGCTTCGCTGGCACTGACCTGCCGAGCCTGAAGCTGCTTTATCGTGAGTAAGCAGTTATGTTTGGCTTTTCCCAAATAATGAGCTGGTGTCTCTAGCAAAGTCTTTTATCAGGCATCAGAGGCTCATCTGTATTTGTAAAGCCGTAAAAACAGCTCACCATCTAAGTGCGTAATAAATTGTTTGATGGGAAGCAAAGCTCCCGGGAGTGGTGATGAGGTCTGTTTGCAGCTCTGACACCAGAAGAGTCAGACCGGATTGAAAGGTGAACCTGACAATGAGGGCCTCTCCCCCATCTACCTCCTTTGGGGAAGGGGACACAAAGTGAGGTGCTGGCCCTGACAGGCCATGCTGGTAGCCCAGGCAAGTGCAGGGGCCCGCATTTCTCCCAGGGACCCTTCCTCACCTGGCAGGACCCTGGCAGGACCCTGGTCAGTTCTGAGAGGGTGGTTTGCACAGCTGTCAGACACCAAATGTCCAGACCTCCAGTGTGTGCAGAAGAGACACCTAAGCAAAGCATCCCCCACTCCTAGCCAGACCTTGACCTCTACCCCTGGTATGAGGAGGGGGGGGTTGGACTAGGGATCTGTAACTAAGGCAACCATATGATTCCCACCCCCAAGTCCCAGTGGGAGCCCATTCACACCCAGGACCACTTACCCCTCCCTACAACCTCATTAGTACCATTAGGTATTGTTAGTGCCAGAGTGAAAACTGAGGCTCAGAGAAGTCACTTGAGCTGCCCAGAGTCACCCAGTCAGCAAGCAGCCGAGCCAGGATGCAAGCCCCAGTCTGTGTGGCCCGCTGCGGGACTGATGGCCCCTCGCTCTCAAAGTCCGTGAGAGTGAGACTCCTGAGGGCTGCAGAGGACCCCCGCCCCCACTATGAGGTCAGCACACAGATTGGGTTGGCCTCACATCCGCCCTGGGTGAACCCCCAATCTCAGGGACCTGAGTCCCTGGTATGCCTTTTACCTTTAGGCTGCAGCTCCATCATGCCTTTCCTGGGAAGTTAGGGATTTGGGATGGGTGGAAGCCACCCCCAGCTGTCCCCAGAAGGCACTAATCACCCCTTGGATCCCTCCAGGTCTCACTGTAAGAGGAGGGAGCTGTTTCTCCCCATTGCTGGGATCCCAGCACCAGCACCTCTCCCTGCTCCTGCCTGACCCATGGGAGCCCTCCATGGGGAAGCTCCCAGCAGCCCCCATGCCTGAGTTTGGGGACTCTCTATTCCCATGGGCCACTCTGGGCCAGGGGAGGCCTCCCTCCTGTGAATGGTGAACAGCTGTGGGTTTTCCACCGCGTGGGCTCTGACTGAGCCTGGGTCATGGAAGTGTGGAAAATGAGGGCCGGCTGGCCGGCCAGAGCCCACAGGGGCTTCAGAGGGCAAGCAGCACCCTTCCCACATGGGGAGGGACTGACTGCTTCATCTTCACTTTTCCCCAACACGGTAAAAAATTGGAGGCTGTTCAGCCTTCAGGAGAAAAGTGAAGGAACCATTTTAAAGCTTCTCACATTTGGGAGAGGGCATCAATATCATCAGCCTTTAGATCCCTCGCTGCCAGCGGGCCAGGGAGGGGGCCTTCTGGACAATTCCTAAGATCCCAGGAACCATGATCAGTGACCAGGCCTCTTCCTGTGCCACCGTCCCCTGGTGGCCGGTGTGGTGATCTCCCCTTGAGTGGAGATGGCCCCTTCTGTGGGTGTTTGAGGGAACAAGGTGCACCCAGCAGGTCCCTGGATCAGGCACATTGAATAGTGCCGCAGTGATTTCCCCTCCATGCCTTTGCCTGAGCAGTACCTTCTAGAACACCCTTCCCCCACCCTTCAGATACCTGGCAGATCCCTTTTTATCCTTCAGAGACCCACCGGGATTTCACCACGGCTGGGAGGCTTTCCGAGCTCCCTGTCAGGAAGCTATTCCTCCTGGCTAGAACCTCCTGGAACCCGGGGGCACTGCTGTGCTGAACCTGCCGTACAGCGTTTAGCCTGTTATTTTGACATATGCCCCTTCACCAGGTTTTGTACCCCTGAGGTCACCCTCAGGTCTTACCTGTGTCCCCAACAGTAGCCCAGTGGGTGTGCCCAGTATGTGATCTTTCGTAGTTGTTCTCACATCTCAAGAAAAAAGTTCTAAGTAGCCCACATCCCATATATGCCCATGTTACCATTTACAGAGATATTCTGATCCTGTTTCCTCACCTGTACTAGGTTAGTGAGAAACTAAAGGCTCTGCACCCAGGCCTTGGCCGCAGAGCTGCTTGTCACCACCCCATGCCACCCTGGTCTCCCCCCTTGCAGAGAAGATACCCAGCCTAGCCGCCAAGAAATAGGAAGAGCATTTTATGAAATTAAGTCATGATTGCATTTTTCACGGGAACGTCATGGGTTGTACAAGAACACAGGAGCAAATGAATGAATCGCTTAGTATCTGGCAAAATTCCCTTGTGGGTGATTTTGTGAGTCTGATCAAAGGCAGCCCAGCAGTTCCCTGCTTGGATTACTGTTTAGGCGACTGTGAATTAGCTTGTCATTTAGGAGGAACCTCACAGCGCTAGAAATGACTTTGGTTCTTAGACTGAGCCTGAATCACAGCGTGTGCACGGGTGCTTCCCTGGCCTGGGTGTGGGGACCACAAGCCTGGGCACCAGGACGTCCCTGGGGTTGTAGCATTTGATCAGTCCTGTGCTTTAAGGCGGAGAATGACTGGATTAATTAATACATACTACCATCTCATGCTTTGGGTACTAGTTCCCATAAAGTGAAAAGAACCATTCCAGTTTTATTCTTTTTCCTATAAATGTATCTTTGTGGTAAAGCAGGGTGCCTCCAGGATGGTGGTGGTGTGACAACACCTGCCTGCCCCACTTTCTTCCCATTACTTTGTTTGCTCCTCACAGCAGCCACATGAGGCTAGTGTCTTTACAGCTTCCTTGTCATCATCATTTGTATTATTCAGGTGCCACCATGAGGCCCAGAGTGGTCATTTTGCCCAATGGTCACAGGCTCAACTGCTGCATAAGCACTTGGAGTCACAGCTGTCAGTTCCTGGGCTGTCCCCACTGCAGGCCACTGGGTCTGTGCAGAAAGGCTAGGGCTGTGTCACCTGTTAGCAGGCCCAGCCAGCACACCAGGGCTCTTCTGGGGGACATGGGTTCCCCATGGGTTGCCCTTGAGCCCTGTGGTTTGACCTCATAGCCCCTGCCTTGGGCAGAAAA